TACCTTACCAAGGTTGAAAAAGGCTTTATTATTTTTGGCTTTTTTTTCATACTCACTGGAGCATTGACCTGCAGCCATCCATTGTGCGTGCCTGTTGCTGCAGCAGGAGAGGCTGTGCTGCTGACCCTAGGAAGCCAGGTGCTCTTTACCCTAGCGTAATTGAACTGGAAGCTAGTTCCCATGGCAGCCAGGTCTTCTCACTCACAGAGCTGCAAAGGAGCACTCTGCATTTATGCCTTGACTAGTTAAAGCGACAGTTTTCTCTCAGTGGGAAGAACAGCACTAGCTTCACACCCCAGAGTTGTTCCCATAGGACTGACCCCATCTGATGATGGAGCCAAGAGAAGCTTGCTTACTAAAACTTGGTTTGGTTTTGTTCTGTTTGTTTTTACTATTAAAGCTCACATTTTAACAGCCCTGTTGTCTCTGCCCCTCAGTCTAATTCTTCTGCATTAGTTCCCAATACAAATGGCAATGCAAGCTCTAGCACATCTCAGTAGGTTGACTGAGCAAAGCCTCCCCAAAAGCTGGCTCTACCCTGCCTTCCTCAACCTAGCTTGGGGCAAGTTGGTGGTTTCAGTGTAGGTCTGAAGTGCCTCTGTTAAAATAAGCTGAGTGGGACTAAAGCCTGCATATTCCTTTCTACTCTTGGGGTGTCTACATGTGCCATTAATGCACAGTAAACTCTGGCACATATTGCACTGGAGTTTATTATTCTTGGGCACCATGTTCGACTGTTCTTGGGACCACAGCATGCTGAGCTGGGTTGGAGCAGCCCTGGCTGGCAGGGAGCCCCAGGGCAGCTCAGTGTGCTGCGGAGGGGTTGGCTGGGGCACAAGAGTGCTCCAAGGTGGGGCTAGGTGGCAGGCAGCCCGTGCTGAAGCACCCTCATACCCCAGCCATCCTCATCAGCATCTACACATGCACTGCTGCAGATTAAGAAAACGCCACAGAAGGATAGTACTTCTATTTACAAGTGCTATTTTGCTGTGGAGTTAATTAATTTACTCCATCCTAATAGCACTGCACATGGAGACATTTACAGTGGAGCTAATTAGGCAACTCTGCAATAAATCTCTCATGTAGATGTGCCCGTGGAGGTGGCAGTGCTAAACTGGATAATTATATGCTCACTACCTGCCCCCATTCTTTTGACCAATGGAAAATAACACAAATCAGCCTCTTCCACCAATATAAAAAGCACAAGCCCTCTTGCCTGAGGGCCTGCAGGTTGGTGGTTATACAGTGTTGTCCTGCTGTTGGGGGGCAGGGGAGCACAGCACCCACTGTTCTGTTAACTTACGGTCTCTTTTAGGAAAAATAGTTTCTTTTTCCTCGCATGCTCTTCACCTGAGACCAGAAATTCCCCTTTTTTCCCCCTCCTGTGGCCCATCTTTTTTTAAGATTGAGCACACGGGCTGCTGCAGAGATATTGGAGATGGCTCAGCACAGCCAAAGTTAGAAGGAAGCAACTGGGCCAATGCACCTGCAAAGGACATGTGATCTAATACAACAAAGGCCAATGGATTCATTGTAGACCACTGCAAACTCAACACAACTTAAGAGGAATGCTTTAGCCTGAGTAGAAACAGCAACCACATCCAAAATACAAGAGGACAGATTTTGCTCAGTGCATGGTGCGAAGCAAACCAGAATTAAGCAAGTTGATGACTGAGTTAAGAAAAGTACACAGACAGTTGTTGCAAGTCAAAGCCATCTCTTTACAGTGACTGAAGCTTTAACAGTGAAAAAGGCTCCGAGAAACAAAAGCATTAGGGGCTAGAGCTCTCTCATGGCGGTGACAGCTATCTATCTATGGAAAGATTAGGGTATTTTAAGTTAGGAACAAAAGTAACAGGGTAAGGACATGTATAAAATAAGGAATGCAATAAAACTATCTGTTTGATGCCTCTCATGCTACTATAAGAACAAGAGCATGACTTAGTGAAAAACAATGCATCTGAAACCAGATCAAAGGAATTATTTATACAACACTGTGCTGAATATTTTTTTGAAGTAAACAGTTTGGTAAGACAAAAAAATAAGTATTTCCACATTAAAAATATGCCTTCACCAATTGCTCAAGGATCCAATACATGGTTAGCTTAGCAGTTGAATAAGAATGAAGCAGTCATCCCATGGATGAAAAGGACCCTTGAAGCAAGAGGTTCCCACATATGGGTTTTACTGTGCATCTTAAAACAACATTAGCTAGAATAAAACTGCAAGGGATATCAGTGCTTGCACTTAAGACCATAAGCTGAACTATCGCCCTCCCTCCTGATGCAGGAAGGCTCAAGTACAGGCACACTGCTGACAAAAAGATGGGAATTTAGACTAAAGTGAACCACCTATCTGCTATGGCAATACCTGCACTTTGTAAACTCCCCTCCTACTATCCCAGCAGTAGTGTCATGTTCATAGCATTTCCTTGAGCCCAGATTTTTTGGATCTAAACAAGATAAGATAGCTTATCACTCTCAAACAGGGACAACTACATTTTCCATTTCACTTTAATGGAGACTGGCAGTATAACTAGCATCTGCCGGCAGTGCTGTTAAATGGAACAATGTTGTCATTAGACAAAAAAAGATGCCACTGAGTTGATGTGCGTTTCTCAGTCTAATGTGCAGTTTTATCTTCCTTGTTACTTGTCAGTTAGCAGCTCTCACCAAAGCTGCCGATACCTGACATGTAAACGTGCCAAGTAACTCAGGCTGAGTTATTTGGGGGAGGGTACTCAGGAGACTCCAGACTTGATGACTTGGCTGAAAGTCCCTCACTTGACTGCTGCCTGCAGCACCTGCTCCCTCCTTTGGGGGTCGCAGAAGAATCGGAGTTTCCGAGGTAACAACTTCACCTCCACAGGTATGGCTTCGTACTCCTCACTGTCTATGCCGAAGAAGCCTTCTGTGCCCTGCCGAGAATCACAAGGTAGCTTGGAGTTAGTGGTGACTGAGCAATAGTCACTACAATGCTCTAACTGTAGTACCTGAGCCCAGTGATGTTTCTTAACAGGCTACAATTGGAGGAACCACTGGATCTTTAGCCGCCTGTCTCCTGTCTTTCATCCTGGCTGGTCTCCCCAGCACAAACAGAACTGTACTGGCTTCACCTAAATAGACTAGCAGACTGCTGCGGATTACCTCACTTAGTAACTAATTGGTGGTAATTAAATGCTAGGTAGCTTTAAAGACCTGCAATGCTTGTATTTAAGGGTTCTAATTTCCATGGAATTGCACAAAACAGTGAGGTGGTCTTTCCTTGGCCTGGCCTGGCGGTAACAAGCTAGAATAGTTACACAATAGCCATGACTGCTATGCCACAGGCACGTCTTTATACTGGTTTTGTTGTATCCGTCCTCACTGCTATGGCACAGCCTAGCACAACTCGTGACTAGGAAGGCATCAATCAGGCCCAGAGGTGGGAAGTGGCTCCTCAACCTCCAGGCCAGAATAAACTGATGCAGCCAAGTGAATAATCCCACTGTTGTTATATAGTCACACATGTAAAATCACCCAGGATTAAGGCCTAGGCATCCGAACAGTGCACATGTTCCTTCTGTAACCTAATCAGGGGCCTGCCTTGGTTACTCAAGTCCTCAGCACCAGGTGAGGTTCAAA